TGAATATTTAAAATTCGAAATACTACTAAAATACTTTTTAACCATAAAATTTATAATTTAGGTATTCAAATAATTTGAGCTATTTATTAAACACATTGTGATCTTACTTAATAGATTTGTGTGGCACAAATATTTAATTTAGTAAGAAAAAAAAGTTAAAAGCATAAATATTATATTGTTTAGTATTTATAAAACTAGTATTTTATTTTTATACTCTAGAATGTATAAATAAAAAAGTTATATAATATGCATTAAATACATTTTCAGTTTTACAAAGTAAGCAAAGATTTACATACGAGAGAAAAACATAATGTAAGACATTGGCATTGAAAGTGAGTCGTAAATATGGCGATGACGGGAGCAATTACAATGACAATCAAATGAGACGGTGTGACTGTTTATCATTAATCGTAGATCTCGCGTGGCGTAATGTTCATGATAATGACCTAATTCAAATCACCGTTTTCAATTTGATGTAACATCATTAGGCTTAATTCATGAATCTAAAGATGTTGTCCTCAATATTTTTTAAAATTAGATTTGTTTACTATTCTTATATATTTGAAAACATAGATCTCAGATGTTTCGGGGTCAAATATTGTAAATAACGATTAAAATATATTTAAAAACACAATAATTACTTATTTTTATGAAAAATAGTATTTCAGTTAGTTTTAATAATGTTTAATGAAAAATACTGTATTCATACAAATTAGTTTGATAAATGATAGTTAAAATAATAAATAAAATAATAAAATTCAAGTAGCAATTATGAATTCATCGTAATTACTGGATAAGGTAAAACTGAAATAATTATTGTTAAAATATATTATTATTATTTTATATTTTTTTTATTATTTATCTTACGTGTATATAATTAGTAAAAATTCTCTCTTAGTTATGAACTCTCGGAATAGGTAATAATTCAGTCATTTCATTTTAAATTCATTCAAATAAATGAATGATCATTAATTTAACCTGAAAATATATAAAATTCGGCCATTTAAGTACATGAAGTAAAATTGATATTACGTTTGAAATATCATAAAAATATTAAAAAATGTAAAGAACAAATCCTATTTCCATCGTATTTACTACGATTTATAGTAATGAATATTTATTCATAAAGTTTTACAAATATAATAATACTCAACTATATTAAATTATGAAGAATTTCTGTATATAAAAGTAGATTTTGAGTGGATTCATTTGAGTGCGATGAATCAAAGTTATATTTAGATTATTTCTGAGCATTTAAATTTTAATTCATTATCTAACATGTAATATTATTGCATACTTGTTCATAGATTATTATTTTTTTACAGACACATAAATAATATGAAAATTTAAAATAATGATAAGTGTTCTTGGATATCGCAAAAAAATATGATTTTTTTAAAATCTATTAATATTATTAATTAATCTTATTAATCCGATTATAATGAACAATATGTAATTTTTGAAAACCTAGATATTATAAATTAGATTAAGTGTGCTTCCAAATTTTATTTAAAAAATTTAATAATTCTATTTTATCGTCTTATGTGTGTTACATTTTAATTTTTAATTGTTAAAATCGGAGTTATTCATAATGGTTACTAAAATAAACTATTAATAAATTGTAAATTATTTTAAAATATTTTATTAATAGTTTAATGAGATAATTGTTTAAAAATAATAAGAAATTTTATATGAAAACTAATCAGATCTTGTTAAAATAGACACTTTGAAATAGATTTAGCCAGCATGCGCAAACAGAATAGCATTGCTTTAAAAACATTAGATACTTATATTTTTAAGAAAGTAATTTACATAAAACTTATATTCTTAATTTTATTATTTCCAGTACTATTTCTGTGACTTTAACTTTTTACTATATTGTTTTTGTGAATCAAAAATTTAAAAATTGCTGAAAAACAATAATTCAATAAAGAACAAATTACATAAAATTATGTTTACAAGGAAATAGTTTTTAAAGCAGTATCTAATATTATTAAGCATACAGACGAAATATTTATTGTGTACGAAATAAAATATACAAAATAGAAAGAAAATATTAATAAATTGCCAAAAGTTGATTAGAATCTAAGTAAACTAATAGCTATGTGCTAATCGTGATAAAATTTTAAAAGCTAATAATAACATTTGGTTTTTTAAAATAAAACTCTAGAAATTAATATTACTACAGATTTATGATTTAAGATCTTATATATGATTACAATGATTTTACAGAGGAATTTACATAATTATAATATAAGCCAAAATATGAAAAAAATTTTCTTAAAGTAAAATTATAGTAAGTAGAATTTGAAAATATCTTTAATTGTCTAGAAATGCACAAAGAAAACTAAAATATATAATTGTATATGAAAATTAGCAATTCAATAAGTGAAAGTCCATAATAAAATTAATTGTAATATAATTATCAGGCATTCTTATAAATTTTTTATTACACATTACATATTTAATTATTCGCATTTAATTTACATTTTTTTAATATGTATTTTAATATTAGTTCAAGAAAAATATTTCAAGATCAAAAATATGATGTTTTTTTTTCAAATCGTATCATAGAATATGTAATATATCTTGTAATGTTCTAAGTTTTAAGCAAGGAAATATTTTTGATGTATTCATATTATTGATTTATATTTGTTTAATAATTATGTTATTATATATTTTTAATCGATATCTTCGATCTAATATATTAATTTCAGTTAAATGATATTAGATAATTCAATTCATAAATATTTTCTCTATATTTATTTATAATAATCTTTCATTAGGTCCTTTCATATTTACATGGTATTAACATATCGAATAAGTAGTTTTTAATGCTCATATCTAATATGGATCTTCTCTTGATTAAAGAGCAAAAGTTCCTATCTATCTTTAATTAATCTAATGTATCATGAGTCTTCGAGTCCAGTTTATCAAATAAATGGACAGATAACATAAATATTAAATTTTAATAAACTGTTAATCTCAATTTTAAATTATTTTTTCTTAAAATTATAAACAGAATATATTTTTATTTATAACTTAATATACACTACGTTTTATAAGGTTATTCAAATTACAAGCAGCATTTTTCGAATATTAGACAAATTAATTTTGAATAAAATATTTTATACTTGCATCCGGCACTTTCTTTTATTTTTTTTAACGATAATTTCCTAGGGAACAATTTTACAATATTGAAGTTTATTTGATCGAATGCGGTAACATTACTATATTCGTTATTATGGACTTAAAAAATTATTTATTTGTATTGAATCGAATAATGTCATTTATAATCTGATTATTTGTTAAAAATTAATAGATATGTATATAAATATAATATATAAATATAATGTTTGAATAAATATTGGAATATTTTGTACTTCGAAGGTAAATAAAAATAAGATAAGAATATGCATCATAATTTGAATGCAATATTAGTAGTCAATAAAATTATATTTTTAAAATAACTAAATAAATATATATATCTATATATATATAAATATTTAGTTTATAATATCTTACTTGATAATATCTAAAAATTATTAAATTTTATATTCAACATATAAACGTTTTTTCTTAATTATTTTAACCATAAATTTAACACTAACTGCTTGGAATACATAAAACACATTTTAAGAATACATCTATATAACATAGTTATAACATTAATTGAGATATTTAAAAAATATTCTTATCAACAATAAATTAAAAATAGAGTAAGGAAAGGTGGTAATTTTTGTATTGCTTTACCAATAGTTGATATGTATCTTATTAAAGATATGAATATGGATTTAAGCTTAAAATTTTCAATATAAATTTAATTTCTCTTAAATAATTTTTTATTTTATATTGTATTTAAGAGATATTTCTTCTGAACTGTGAAATTCGATATAAAAATTATAATATATAAGATAACTATCATTTATCGGATTAAATTTGAATCATGATTTGTCTTACAAATATCTACTTTAAAGATCGATTGATTAATCAATAAGTGATTAAAATTGTATAAATGAATCAGGTAAATTTTATTATATGAATAGCTTACTAGCATCGAAACAAATTTATATAATTATTAAGTAATATATAATGAGGAGACTTATATTTTTGAAAAATTAATAAAATTTCATCCAAATCTATAATTAAACAAGCATGGAAATATAATAATGGTGTAATCACATAGTTAAAATTTCTTATATGTATTTAAACTTTATTTGTATTACTGAATAAATTATACGATTTCACTTAACCATGTATATTTTTGTATTTAGATTTGTAATTACATTCATTTTTTCTTGCATGTGTAAGAAAATTATCGATTAATAACTTAGTATATGTTTATTTTAAGGTTGACTTACATTGAAAAAATCCTAACTATGTGCACGCATGCGCAATAGATCATACTGTCGCAAAGCGGTGACTTTTAAAGAGGTAAGAGCATCAAGCGCAATTCCAGTCGCAAACTCGCATTCGTAGTATGTATTTCGACGTCGCTCACTTTTTTTTTCTCTCATGATTCACGTACACTAGGCGTCGATCGACTCAATGAAGTAATCCTAGTAGTTTCTCAAATATTGTAAGTCCGCAATATTCGCCACTGTTGACAAAGTGTTTGTTTCCTTCAATACAATTTATGTGAATTTGTAAAAGATTAATTCGGGAAATGAGTTGGTGAAAATCATAGATTTATTTTAATCTTATCATTTATATATTATACGTGATTTTAATTTAGAGGATTTTAATCAATATAACTCTTCATCTTCTTTATATGATAATTCTAATAACTATACTTTACATAACATATTATATAGACCAACATTAACAATAATAATTACTTGGGTTATTCTATTACATATAATATATATAATTAAAGTAAAAAATATTTAGAATATTTAAAAAAAGTATAACTATTATCACTTATTTAATCACTAATATTTTTATATACTATAAACATTTTTATTGATATTTTATTTTACTAAATTTATAAAATTTATAGTCAAAGGTAAAATAATAACGGTATCGGAAGGAAACGAAAGTTAAACAACAAGAAAAAAGTGATTCAGTTTAGCGGTTCGTCAGGAAGTGTAACTGAATCGATTTTATTTATTGAAGGTATGGTAACTATGTTACATTTAATTTTGAAAAAATGCTGTGATGTAATTGTGTAATATTAGTACTTATTAATAAAAATATTGTTCAAAATCTAATATTCTTTCATACCATTAACAAATTTTATATTAAACAAGAATAAATATCATAAGCATATTTTATTAGAGAAATTTATTTGGTCAATATATTTTTTTGGAAATTATTTTAATCATTGTATTTGTCTACGTGCCTGTGTGCGTATTCATGAATACAATATAACATTTACAAATAAATATAATTGACTTTTAATTACAATTATATTTTGATATAACTATAAATTTTATATTTAAAAAATTAAATATTATTTATATTCGACTTAAATGTCTAAAGCACTAAGTTTGTAATTAGCTAATGATTTTTTAAATATTTTATCAATTCACGTTTATTTTTAATATTATATTTGTACTTAGAATTTAATTTTACAATAATTGTATATATTCAAACATTTAGATTATATAAAATCTTATATAATATTATTTTAAATATTATCTTAAAATATTTTTTTGAATAAATTTAGATATTTACAAAAGTATGTATTATATTACTATAATTTAGGGAAACATATTGTTATTAATGCTACTCATTGTAAAGACAATAAATTCTTACAAGTAATTATAAAATTCTAACAAATAAATTATACAATACTTATAAATATAGAAATTTTAATATACGAAATTAATATTCTACTTGCTATGTATACTCTAATTTCCGGCGTTGAAAGCAAGTTTCTTTTATTGTCTACACAAAATTAAATATATGGTAATACAATTCTCAGTATATTATAAAATCGCTAGCAATTTATACGAAAAATAAAGTAAAAATTATGAAAAACTACCTACGTTAGGATATAATAAATAAAGATTTTTGTCGCAATATTAACGAAATGCATTATTTGTTACTGCGGTATAAAAGATTGTAATCTTTGTAACTGTAAGTTGTAAGTAACATAACATTTATTTCTTTAGAATTTTTTTTTAAATGAATAGTTTTTTTTTAATCACGTACATGCATTGAAATATAATAGTACTTACTATATTTTTATATAAACTGATTATAACTGTGTTTGATTTTTTTTATAGTTGAGCATAAAATATCTTTAAAATTAAGATACTTTTAATCCTAAAACAATTGATGAAATCTTTATAAAAAATCTTAAGATAAGTTAAAAATGATTTGAATACTATACTATTAAAACATAAAAGTTAAGTCTGGTAGTTTATCTAAATTTGATATCGGACCAATATTTGTTTATCATAACATAGTTCGAATAACATATTGATATTATTTATACTCATAATACTAAATTTCAATGATATTAAATGATAACTATTATAAAAGTATCGATTTAATATAAGTTCTTTATCAATTAAATTGAAAGTAATGATCATTTATTGTGAAAGAAATATTCAATGGCAGATATTACATCATTATTATGCATAATTTAATGTAACAGTAATTTAAATAAATTAATAATAATCTAAAAACAATAAGTTCTGTATGAGATAATGTTTTAATAAATATTATACTTTCATGAAAATCACTTTACATAGCTTTCATATCGTTTTTAAACCATAATTAAATTACTATTAGAGTCATAAATCAGCCGAATAATATTGCTATAAAAAGTAGTAAATCAGTATACATAAAAATACTATCAATTCTAATGTATATTTGTCAAAAGATGACAACTCTTTGGATTCTTATTTTAGATTTTTGACATATCTCAATATTTAATAAATATTGAAGTTATCGATATAATCGGTGTCGGTAAGACTAGAAATTAATGTACATTACACGGCAAAATATACACATAGAGAATCATTTAATAAGTCATAAACACATATACGAGGTCAACGTGACAAGCCACTATCGATTTTATGTGAGTCTATCACTCTATCAAACTTCCGACAAGCCTGTTTATCTCTATTTACGTGTCCACCAGGCGTCTTAAAAAATATTAACTAAAAAACAAGGGACTAACGAATTAGGTACAAGAGAAAAGATCAATTGGACTATAACGTAGAACTCGGCGCGCGTCTCCATAGAGGCAAGACTACGGGTCATTGACTTGTTCGACGTACGTCTCTATGTATGAGCAGGTCGCGACGTCCTTGGACGAACGCAACGATAATGCAGCCGAGTGAGAGTAATAGCTTTTCGACCTGGAGAACAGAGTTGCATATTGTAGTACACGCCCATCGTGAGGAATTGTACGCACGGAAGTAAGATCGACTCGGTCTTCCAGCAATTCTATTTCACGTGTGCGATAAAAAAACTATTGGCGATATCTACCTTTTTTCTTTTTTTTTTATTCGCCCGATATGCAATGAAGGGTTTATCGATAGATGAGCGACGACCGAAATTGAGAGGCTAATAAAACATTTTCTTAAAAGCGTTTATAAATGAGAATTTTAATGGAGCTTGGAAGTGAAGGTTAATTTATACTTAATGTTGTAATTATATTAAATTTATAGACGAGAGTTTTTCAGATAAAAATGTTTCGATTAATAATTTCACCCTCGTTTCTCATCCTCAATCAATATATAAAATAAGCAAAAAGTATCCACGTTTGTGGCAATATTGATTATCAATGAATTATTAATTTTGACGTTATATATTTGTCTCCCCCCTCCCTTTAAATGCAATAGCATCTAGAATCTTTTTAAACTAAATATTATATATATATATTAGATCATTTAATCGTGTTTATTCGAATTAACTCACTATTTTTTAATTAAAATACACAATTACTTGAATTCTATGATTATAAATATATTTATTTCTTTTATAGAAATTTTTCTGTAAAAATAATTAACTTAATTGCTACATTTAAATGTTTTTATAGTTATTATTTTTATACTTTCTGAAATAAAACTTTTTATGAATAATTAATTTTCAATTCAATAGTCGAAGCATTACTATTATGCTTCTCTTTTCTAGATGTCCTAAATTTAATACCAAATAATAAAAAGTGACGTTTTAGAAACGCAATAAATAAAAATATATAACTGTTTTAAAAAGTAATTTAATAAGTTTTGAGTAAATAAAATATAAATTTCTGTTCATCATTTATAATTAAACACAACTTAATAGATTTTCTAGTTCAATAAATTAATGAATGAAATCTAACGAATATAAAAAAAATCTCTTTGCATTTTTATAATGCACTTTTTGAATTCATATAATTTTCAAAACGAATAATTAGTATTGTCTATATAATACTTAACAACGAATAATCACTTTATATTTCTAATACAAACAGCTAAAAGTCATTATATGATTAAATTTCAATTATTATTTTAATTCTCTGCTAATGTTATATATAATATATAGATAAATAATAAATAATTGCAAATAAAACATACGATAAGAAAAATGACGCAAATATGTCTAAGTATTATTTATAACACATTAAATAATAATTTAAGAAATAGAAATATTAATAAATTGCTTGTCTTATTTTGAGATTACTAATTATAAATGAATAACACGGAAGGAAATTAAAAAGACATAAATTTTAATATAGAGATTTTATATTTAAAAAATGCAAATTATTAGTTCCTTTATTTTTTATTGAAATACTTTCTTTAGTGCTATAAACAATACACATTATTAACATTAACAAACTCTGTGTTGCTAATTTTTGCTAATTTTGTTTCATAATTTTAATTTTTATTCATTTTATTTTGTTAACATATATTTTTAAAAAATTTTACAAACTATTTTAATTTATTTATTTTTCATCAATGACAAGATCTTTCACTCCAACTGCCCATTAATATTTTATTCATTCTATTATAGAATAAATATTTAAAACTTTTATTTTTCTTTTAGATTATTCTATACAATATATTTTAATAATTGTAAAATAATTGTCGATGAAATTAAAGAGAAATAAAATTCTCCTTTAAATATTAGTCGATACAATATATTCACATTTAATAAATATGCAATAATAAACAATTTTTAATATTATTTCATTGACAAACACTTTAATATCATTATTTTCTATTAATATAAATCAATAGAATGTTGTCTATTGTATAGATCAATAGAATATGTTCATTACACTTATTTTCAATGTAATTATACATGTTAATTAAATTCTTGCTTAGATGACATTTACCATATTTTTCTCCCGAAGTGTCAAAATACATATCCATGTACTGTTCCATATTATATTATGTGGTTCTTACATTAATAAGTAGAATTATTAATAATCAATGACAAAAGCGAAACTGTTTCATTTAAATTAGAGATCCAGCGATGAGATCCAGTGCTCTGTGTAAAACGCTTGTGTAACAGAAATGGAAGAGCGCGCAACGAATTTCTTATGACATAAACGTTTTGGACGGTAAAGTGACGGTGTGCTGAGAAATCGATATCTTCTACAAATGTTATACAATCAAAACACGAGTCCATTCTTACTCGTTTACATGTTGTTTCGGAAAAAAGACCGACGATTGAGAGCAATTATTATAATGAAACATTTCTCAGTTCATTACGAAGGCATTCATAATCAATAAGATATCTCGATTTTCTAATGGACGATTTTTTTTTGCTTTGAGAAATAGATAATTTGAAATAAGTTCTTAATGAAACGAAATGTTCATAATACTCGATGTATCATGAAGATGAATAATACGCAAACGGAAAAATAATGCCACAGTGTTGTTTAACACGTTTTGCATGATGTATATATAAAAATATGTATACGCCATATGCGACATAAAAGATGTAATACGACATGATATCGAAGAACAAATAAATGAACTTTATTATGATTATTATCGTAAACGTTTTCGTTTATGTTTGACTCATTCTTGCAAAATACGTCCTTTAAAAAAGTCGCTGACAATCATTTACAATAACACACTTTCAGTATTTACATAAGTTTTATCATAAACGTGTATTTAAATAAATATTTATTTGTATGTTCTGATTTGAAAAATATCAAAAAGAAAAAGGGTTAAATAATAATTTGTTATAAGTTTATTTAAGCACGCCGGAACTAATTTTTCTTCATAACATAACAGGAATTTGTACTTATGTCCGTTGATCATTTATAAATAATGATAAAAATATTAAATTTTCTTTTTAATATGTTTTAAAAATTTCTATTTCACGATAATAATACAAATAATGATATAATTATTTAATTCACTTCTGACGAACTCTTTTAACAAAAACAAATATCATTTTAAAGATATCGCTTTTCGCAAAATATAATTTCTCTTAAAATTCATTATCTAAATATCTAACAATTTGAATAATTAATTTAATGTATGAATTGTAATTTATAGTAGTGTTTAGAATTGTAAATTACAAAACAAATTATATTTTGCATTATTTAAAAACTGTTTACCAAGTATAGAGCCTATATATATATAGAATATTATATAGTGTATATATAGTATGTATATAGTGTATATATAGTAAATAATTTACATTATTCATAATATGGTATATAATATAGTTTATATATATATATATATATATAGAGTAGTATAATATATATATATATATATATATATATAGAAATATATCTTTGAATACAATATATGCAGCAATATATACAAGCTCATAGAATAAAACTGATGAGAATCACATAATCTTAACATTTTATGATGTAGTAGTACCATTTTATGTGTGTAAATATTTGACATATTAGTTTTTAAAAATTAAATAAAATTATTGCTATTCATACGCATTCTAACTCCACAAATGTATTAATATTATATAGTTAAAGTCTCAATAATTTTAGATATAAATAACATTTTAATTTTAATTCCTTTGTTCTTAAGGATTTTTTAATTTAATTAAAATCAATTTAAATTTTTCACAATTTCTGAAAATCTCATATATTTTAATTTTAAAATATACATAATTATATACATTTATTTTACATTGGTATTTTTTATTTATTTGGTTATAAATAGTATACAATTTCAAACAATCGTAAGAGAAGCTTAATTATTCATTGTTTATTATAATAGTTGAGTATCAATTGAATATTAACTGACTGATAAATCATTAAAAATAATTCTTTTATTATTTAATTAAAATTAATAGTCAAAACATTTAAAGTTATTCATATTTTTCAGATTTTTAGCTAACGAAGGATGAATTTGTACATTTTAGTACAATTCAGCCTTGGTGCTCTACTATCACAGGTTACGGCACGAGAAATAGATTACTGCTACACTTCTGACCAGGATCCTTATCTACTTATGGGTACCAAGACGGCTTATCAATTCGTTCAAGGCAGATCTCGATTTCCGCCTGTGTCGAGTAGGTACTTTCCTTAATTGGTCGCTCAAAAATTATAGACCATCATATGATATCATAATTTTTTAAATTAAAGTATGTAAATCAAATATTTATTTAATTTTCATTTCTGCTCTAAGGGGACAAGTACATGAATTTTTGTACTCATGAGAATGCACCTTCAAGACATTGAAACTTAAGAGAAATGTGTGAATATTTGTTGAAAATAGTATAATCTGGAATTTTAGTGATTCACCCAAGTATTAATAGTGTGAGATAACTAATAGAATACATAAACGTTACGATTGCTTAAAATTAGTTACCATTAAGTTAAAAATATATGCATACATTTGGTCTTTATTAAAATTTTATGATTTTTTAACCAATTATATTTACCATATACAATTATATAATTTCAACAATATAATTACAATAATTGCAATAATATAATTGTGTCATTATATTACTGCATAATTCTGTGATTATATAACATAAGATTTGCTAATGTTTTAGTAAATATATATAAATAAGTCATAATAATAAAAGTGATAGTAATAAAAGAAAATATAATTTTCAATATATGATGAATGTACGATTGAGAATAATTATATTTTCATTCTCTATTTTATTCGTATATAATTTAAAAAATATATTTTTTCTAGGTTCTATAAATCTATAAATTATTTAAAAAACAAACGAAATAAGTATTTCATATATACTGATTTCTTTTAATTCGTTTTATATTTAAAAAAATCTTTTTTGAATTAGTTAAAATCATTGAGACTATATTGCAACTACTGTTATTCAGAATGTAAGCTGATTTAATAAAAATATGTCAAACGAATTTTATGCTTTTGGAAAATTTTATTTTTGAACTATATTTACATCACAATTCGGTATTATAAATAATCAAGCTTATCTCAAATTAATTTCAAACCAATTAGGCTTAATTAAAAAAAATTCTTTTATGCTTGCATAAACAAATAGTATAATAAACATTCATATATATACCTTATTCGAATGAATAGTTATGTAATGCTTGAGAAAACAAAAAATGTATACATAATTCTGTATATGTTAAATATTTAAAAAATTCGTATGTTATAATATATAAAAAGATATTCTGTTATAACATTTAAGAGATTATTGTGTTATACTTTATAAAAATATATACCTTAAAAAATAAATGTTAAAGATGAAAAAAAGAAAGATATAGTACTTTTGTTATTAATAGAGATTCGTAATGAAGACGATATATTTCGTAGTCATCGTACTCAAATTATCGTTGAGGTATCTATATCTATTGAATTTTTCGGCAATTAACGCGTATTATAATTATTATAATATCATTAAATTTAATGATATATGAAGCAATACATGATTAGATACAGTGAAAGTGAGATTATTATATTATTATATTATATTATATTCTATTATATTATATTATTAATTATTATATTATATTAGTTAAAGATTAATAATCTCACAATGCAATTCGTGTTCTAAATAATATCTATAAATTATACATAATTTACATATACGGTTTTTGAAATTATGATTCATTTACAAGATACAATAATTTCTTTCTCAACTTATACATAATTATATTAATGATGGAATATAAGGTAGATCTTCAAGAATTACCGACACAACAAAAGGTTAATAGCTTTTGGCGGTTGTTTTATTAAGTGAAATGAATACGTGGTATGCGAAAGTGGAACATGACTAATTTGTTTAACTATACAAGCAAATGACTAAGAAACTTCATTATCCTAAAGAAAATTATAAGAACTTTATATTATATAAGTATTTGTAAATATAATAAAATTGTATTTATTCTAAAATAATTATACACAATATTATTTTTATTGTATTTTATTATATTTTATTACACTTTAAATTTAAGAGATGGAAAAAGTAAATTATAATTATTAATATATAAATTTAAAAAATTACATGATTTATAGAGAATTTATTTTCGGTTGTTGATTGTTTAAATATTATATTTCCTTATTTTTGCGCATCGTGTTTTGCGTATTCCATAATTAATATTCAACTCAATGTTTATTATGTAAATATATTTTAATATTAAATAGTAAACGGAAGTAATATCATAAAAATTAAAAAATTTAAGCAAAGGACGAAATTTATTTGTATGTCAAATCTTATACAGAATTGATGATATTGATAATATAATATTCATGATAGGCTAAAAAAATAATGGAATATGTTCGAATTTACATAAATAAAGTTTTAAACATCATTTTACATTTCATAAAATTCTATTTGTGATTTTATTACCTAATAAAACTGTCTAATTATAGTTTATACTATGTATGACAATGAAAGTGAAAAATATTACATTATTTTTATAAATTAAGAATATATTTGCAATATTGTAAATTTAATTGTAAATATAATTATAAATTATAACAAAATAATAAAATTACATATTGCAATTATATTTTAGCTACTTTATTACGAAACTATCGTAGGCCATAAAAAAATTAATACCAAGAAAAAATTAATTATTTCTCATAATATTTCATTATTAACCATAAAATTACGAATTACTTTAAGGAAGATAGTTTTAATAGTCTTTATAAATTTTAATAATATTTTTACTATGCTTTAGATTGTTCACCAATTCAAATATGGATTTTATCAAGGCATGGAACTCGATATCCTGGAAAAAAATCAATCGCACCATTATTAACACTTTCCCGACTTCGAGATCAAATTATCTATAATCACGAAAATCGAGGAAGTATGTATATATAGTTATTATATATAGTATTCAATGATTTACATTTAGAATTCTCTGATTAATTGAAAAGAAACATTATAAATTTCTTTAATTTCATATAGCAAAGTTAAGAATGGTTTTGTAAGTTATCCCTAAATAGCTAAAATTACGTAAGCTCTTAAATTACGGCAAAATACCATATGCTGACCTACTCACAATTTTATGCTTCAAGAACGTGCCATGACTACCAATATAAAGTCCGTGACTACATGATTATACAATTTAAAGAAAAAACTTTATTGATCTTTAATATATTTCTTTAAATATATTCATATTTTTAATAATTTTTTTTTCTAATGAAAAGTATAGTAAATTTTAACAAATTGAATTTATAAATTTTGATAAAATAGTGTAATAATTTAGACTATCCATACAAATTTTATGTAAAAAAATACTTTTTGTATTATTATTTCGATATACACATATTATTAATATTCTTAAAAGTATTTTTCATTTCATGAGAATTTTACAAAATAATTTATAAAATTATAATTTTAGATATTTAGCAAATATCACACTGAAAATTATTCATAATTTGAAATACATATATGTTAATATGATGATTTAAGAGAGGTGAATTTAATCCAATATTTAATTCAAAATTATGATTAACGATTTCATATACTTACTTATTTTATTATGAATATAAATTACACAAATATATTGGATTATATAATTTTTTAATTTTAAAAACTATATGTTAAATTAATTTCTTAAATACTATGCTCCTTTAACAAATATAGATATAAATTTTTTTAAATATATGTTCATAGATGGCCGATTATGCAATAATGACTTTCAAGCTTTAAAAAATTGGTATCCTTATCCAAGTTTAAATGAAACTTTTGCCAATGAGTTAACGCGACAAGGTGAACAGGACATGCGACTACTTGCTAGAAGATTGCAAAGCGAATTCCCCGATATTCTCAGAGCAGATCCACAAATTAACAATTACCAAATATATAAGGTATCTCTTATTTATATTATCTAAATTATTACTTTTTAATTCTAATATGATTTTAAATATTTCAGTTTCGTTCTTCGAATACTTCGCGTACACGAAAGAGTATGGAAGCTTTTATGGATGGCCTTTTTAATAGTAGAAACGCTGTGCCCAAAGAATATACGCCATCCAATGATTCTTTACTGCATGTAAACATTTTATACGGATTATTTTACAGATGATTTTAAAACAATAACAATGTTTTTTAAAAAATAACAATATTTCAATTTTATTGTATTATTAATATTATTATTATTATTTACTCAATAATGATACAAACAATATAAAATATATTTCTTTCAGGCAGATAAGAATTGTCCAGAATGGGATAAAAGCTACGATACAGACCATGTTAATGATGAATCAGATAAATTTATCCTTGGAACCGAATATCAAAATCTTATTCAAAATGTCAGCAGTCGACTTGGTTTTAGTCATAATATTAATAATGGTAGATTTAAAAAATTTGTTTTTAATTTTTATTCTTATTACAAATTAAATTAATATGCAGAATTTTTGTCTTTAAAGTGATATGTATATATATCTATATATCTATATATCTATCTGTATATATATATATATATATATATATATATATATATATATATATGACTTAACATAGAAAGTTATCTATAACATTTAATAGTTTATCATAGATAAATACATGATGTATTCAAAATAATTTTTGTATTTTTCACAGTTTATGTCGACTGATGATTTAACCCTTTTTTTTATCTTTCACAAACTTAGAATTGCTATTGTAACTTTTAATTACGTGTTCTAATTCAAAATTAAGAATAATATCTTTAATGACATAAATATGATGAGCAACGAGTTTTTTCCAGAATCGATTGGATTGATGTACGATATGTGCAGGTATGAGAAAGCGTGGGAAATTAATCGCTTATCAATTTGGTGTTCAATTTTTAATAAACAAGAATTAAAGATTTTGGAATATCTCGAGGATCTTAATCATTTTTATTATACTGGTCCCGGACGAGAAATTAATAAGAAACTGGGATGTCCGCTTGTAAAGGATATGTTCGAGCATTTTCGGTAAGTTGAGGAAACGAAGCATTAAATGTGAATTAAAAATTTGTTTATATTAGCATATACAACTTATAGCTGTCTTAAAAATTCATTTAACATTAAGTTTTTTATTTTATGAATATACATGTATATAATAATATTTATTTAAAGAATACATGCAAAAAATTTAATAAAAAAAAATTTATGTGTATAATTTTTTGTAGTAATTTGGAAAGTGGACACGACGAAAATGAGCCAAAGGGAATTTTTTATTTCTCTCATACGGTTACTCTTCAAAACTTCATGGCGGCATTAGACATTGACAAGGATTCGACACCATTATTGGCTAGCAATTATCATTCCGTGACTAGAAGACATTATCGCACTTCGATGCATGGAGCGTTCGGCACTAATATAGTGGCAGTTTTCTACAGGTACAATTTGTTACTCCACTTTACATTAGAAATTCATCAGTTATTACTAATTAAATTAATAATTAAAATACTAAAAAAATTACTAATTAAACATTATTTGCAATCACAATAGACTAAATTGCAATTAAAAAGTCTTATATATTATATCTATTATCAATAGAAAATTTATTTAATAAAGTTTAATTGATAAATTAGCATTTTTCTTTCTAATAAATTAAAAATGATAATAATAGACTACTAAATTTATTATTATTAAGCTGATTTATTAATTAACAAATAAAATTTTTGAAATCTGAAAATTTATTTTAATTTTAAATATAATTGCAGATGCAGTGATGTACATTCACCGAATAAAGTTATGTTCTACATAAATGAGATTCCTCTACTTATGGACGGCTGTAAAGTTGGATTATGCGACTGGGAGTTTTTGAAGGAAAGATTTGGCCGAACTGCCGAGGAATGTAACCTTAATTTTTGTTTTAATCCAAATGATGCTTCTGTTTTTAATACTTATGGATTCGCTTACATTTTTATTATCATTCATGCAATTTTACGCTCGCTTTTCTATCTGTGATGTGAATCTATATAGATACTTAAATTTTAATATGCACTGTAAATAATATTATACCACATATAAATTTTAGACGATACCTATATTGTAGAATTCCAATCGAAAAAATATCATTAAAAACATTTTTGTGCGCGTGCTTAATTTAATCGCTATTATCGTTATTTGGCAACATAACGAATAGAATACATAAATTATATTTATTCTATTTTAAGATTCATTGTTTTATAGTAAACTTATATTAAATTTATATTAAATTTTAAAATTGAATAAATTTTATTAATAAAATTCGTTAATTATTTTACATTATTAACTTGATATAAATTTATAAAGAGCATAATTAATTATTATTTCATTATATCCTACAAATTCACTATTGAGAATAGTTTATTTTTTTCTTATAATTGGAAAATATAATCATGTGTTAAAAAAAAAACTATAGAATAGATATTGACCTAAAGTACTGTAGTAAACTTAATAAATCATGAAAGTTGAAATTTTATCTGTTAATTTCTATTTTTTTAATTTTATTATACTGTTAAAATTCAATCGAATGTATTTCTTAACTGCTTATTTTGACAATTACCCATAATAAATTTTTTATATGGTTAAAATTTTATGTGATTTAAAAATTTTATTTAAATTTATAAACCATTAAAAAATTAACTTTCATTTTATTTGACTATATCATTTATAAGAAAATGGAATTTCTAAAAATTATTGACTAAAGCTAAATAGAATCAGTAGAAAAGAAAAATACAAGAAAAATTAAAATATATATATATATATATATCGTTGTTGTTTATTGAAAATAAAAAGATATAAAATAGAATATTTATATTATCAACATTATAAATTATGGAATAGATTTTTGTCTAATTAATAAAATATTTATATTATGAAATTATACCATAAAAAAACTTGACAGTAAGTATATGCATCTTCATACCATTCCGTATACATACCCACACATATATGTATGTATAGTCAAATCCTATATAGATCGATCGACTCAAAGTACAATCCTATATTCATTATTTGTTCAGTGTTTTATAACGAAAAAAATTGAAAATAATGTACTCAAACATTATTTTGATATCAAACATCAAACAAGATTCACGGAATACTACAAAATGACAATAGAATTGAAAATACGAAATAATACTTTTTCGTATGATTGTTATTATATTATTAAAAAGTGTTTATATAAATCAATCAAGGTAAATAAATCTATTTTTTAAAACATATTAAACAATGTTAATATTTTTAAATAAAATCTAATAAAAATGTCTAAATTTGGAATATATAATATACTGCTTTTATTTTAATTTAATTTACTATCAAAATATAAACTATTGCTTAGAAAATGTAAATAATTGTATAAGCTAGTAATAGAATGGAGATAAGATATCCATAATTAAATGGATACGAGTCATAATTTCACTTTTCCATTTTCTAATTTATTTTCTTAAAAAATAATAGTATGCATACATTAAAGTTATAAGTAAAACATTATATATGTTATTTAATGTTATATAAAATTCATATAAAGTTCATATATAATAAATACTGATACTTAATTGTCATTCTTGGAATCTAATAATCATATTAGAATATTAAGATGGACAACAATTTTCTGAAGTTAAGGCAATAAAACTGTTCTCGCAATCTCGAACAGATTGAAATTTACACTTAAGTGATTTTAAAAATTTGTAATTTACTCAATTATTTTTCAAGATCAAAAAAATTATTGTTTCAGTGAAATTATTTCATTAAATGGAGAATCACGAGTAAAATATTATTATACAACGCGTATACATGAAAATCTAATAATACGCTAATTTCACTGTATAGTTTTACATTAAACGCACCTATTATTTAAATTATTTCAATGATATATACAACAAATTTATCAAGAACTTTATTTTTCAATAATTCATAATAATATCACTAGTAAACTCAACTTCATTGTTCAATAATGAATAATAATAATCTTTTGGTAAGTAATATTGGCAATTGGTATTAGAAGATAGATCAAGGAAACTAAGATAATATATTTAACAAGTTGTCAATTGCTTTTTTAAAAATATAGTTCAAATTTAGTATGATTGTTTTGCTTATTTGAAAATTTTAAATTACTATTAACCTGGGAAATGTTTGAGAATAAAATTGTTATTAAAAAAATGAAACACACATTCTCTATAAGCCAACTATTCCATTAAGAATAGTTTGAAATGTTGTAAATTCTCTCATAATTATACTTTACTCTAATTATTTTCCTTTACATCTTCAATTCATAATCTGGAACTTCATATATCTTTTTTAATTCTCTCTAAGAAATTAAAGCAAATTAAATTAACTTTTCTTATCCTTTTCTCTCTCACTCTCTATACTTTATAGTTTATAAAGCGATAATTATACGCAGAGATATACACATGCATATCACCGTTCATATTTTAAAGTTATATAGGCTATGTAAAATCTATAGATTTATATTTAAAGACTTCAAGTATTTTAAGTTGAAAGTGATATTGTTAATAATACTATAATTATGTATTAATAAATTAAATTGTAAAATATATTAGAGAAATCATTAGTACTCGTTAAGATCTTTTTGGTCTCAATTTGTTTATTTAAAATATTGTGAATATTTATTATATTTTTCGTTCGTACACCATCGACACTAATTTTTCGTTCTTATACAAATACAGACATAATACAGTTACTGAATGATAGAATTATATAAATATTTAATTTAATTTAATATAATTATATTGGAAAGTAACTGAAATTATTATAATATTCCTATATGCATATTTTATAAAATGAACTCTGCCAGAAAGGGGAATAATCTAGACGCAATTTTTTATATAATTATAGATAAAATTAAAGTTATTAGAATGAAAATAACGATATCACTGCTAGAATTTTGTAATAATATATATGGTATTGCACTTTCATTAAGGATAATTGTAATAGTTTTTCATGCTTCACATGTATTTCTTTTCAAAAGACACTCATTCGTAGATTTAGTTTATTAAGTGCAATCCGTAAGCTAGATATTTCTATCACTAGGTAAAGTATTTATTTTTGCTTCATAATAAACAGATGGCTTTTGAAAATATATTCTTCTTATGATCGTATCTTTTTGTATCAGCAATGTACATTATATATTTTTTACAATATATTGCCCTTATATATAGTTTGAACACCTGATATCTTATAACGCTCTGAACTATAAACGCCTTTTGGTGCTGTTATTTTTAATACAACACATAAATACAACTATTGTATTTTTATTGTGAGTTCTTTCACTAGAAAAAGTACGTCGTTTTTCAGACCTTTTTATATTGATTTGTGATGAATATTCTGTTGCACTATATCCTGCTACTAGATAATTTTTTATACCGCTGTCTATATTGTTATCAGTTTCACAACCATTTATGCCTTCTATTTCGAAATAGCTACGCAAAACTGTGCATATAATTTGAAACGATTCTCATTATTTCAACATCAGATATCTATCGCTAGCATTAGCTATTTAGTTATAGTTAAAAGTATATCTTGATCTGCAAACCTGGTGAAATGAGAAGTTCATCGAAGATATTGACTACTCGAGAACCCATTGATGTAATTATTGATGAAAATAGCTAGTACAGTTCGTATCAGATATACAACAACTGAGGTATTATTAAAATTAGATTATTATTTTTCCGGTAGTATTTCGCTATAACGACGTTTAAAATAAATATGCTGTCAAATATTAGAAAAATTGTGAATTTTGTTCATATACATTATGTATTCATACACTTTAGTAATTTAAAATTTAATCAAGATAGGTAAAATACAATAAATAAAATGAGCTCTATTTTATTTTTCAAAATAATGTAAATAGCGCCTACAAGCGACTAAGCTATTTATTAATAAAATTATAAAATGTTAATGTTATTCAACAAATACAATATTTAAATTCTATTTTTATTACTAAGCCCAATTCAATACAATTCTATTTTAAACCTCTCAATTACGTAATATAAGCGTCATTCTTTTTTTATTATTTATTTAATTTTAGAATCAATTGATTATATAATAATATATTTAATTATATAATTTTGTTTAATCGTTTATTTTTTATTTTAAATAAAAAAAATTTAATAAAACAGAACATTCTTCTAAAATGACAAATTAAAAGAGACAAAATAAAAGAGTGCTATAGGAAATCAAGTTTCTTTAATATATAAATTGAATATTAATATTGTTTCTAGATTTATATATTTACATATATTTATATAATAAAACACTCTATTATAGAAATTAATCTTTTCAATCAATTTTTTTTTTAAAGTAAAAAAAATAACTTTACATATATTACTGTAAATATATTTTCATTAAAATTTTTTTGTTAATTTCTGGTAATAAGCTAATTTCCTCGTGATTTAAAAAAAAAATATATTATTCATAATTTATAAGTTTAAAAAGCGTATATTGAATTTCCATAATACAAGAATGGAAAGTTTTAAATTAAACTATATATTTTATTGTCGTGCTGATATAATCTGTTTGCGCATGCGCGTCCTTATAAGAAATTTACATATAAACTTCACTGCAAGGCTTTAAAAATTCCAGTATATTTTGTTAACTTATAAAGAAAATTACTTTATATTGAAATCATTTAATTCTTAAAATAACTATTATTAATGTTAAAAAATAAAATCATTTATTTATAACATTACGATGAATTTTTTGGGTTGATGAGTACAAAAGAGAGAAAGCGCGCATTTGTGACATGCGCAATATATATATATATATATATATATACATATGTTTACATGACACATCCCCGTACATATATATATATTTCATTAGCTTTATGCAATCGTGCGTACAAACATTTGAACACAATTCACGATTCATGTGTAGATTTTAATTCTAGTGTTAATTATTGTAATAGGTTCATTAAAAAACAAATTTTTTCTATAACTCTTATATTATTGATTAACTAGGCGCCATGTATGAAATATAAGTATTGTAACTACTAACGACAAATCTGTATACCAAGCCTAGATTTTATATTGCCAACGCCACTGGTAACCGAGCTTGTTTTTATATTGTGTTTGTGTATAAAATATTTGTAATTCCATTCCCGCTTGGCTTTGAAAATAATCGTGGGTTTCGAGGGCGCTGCGGTGAGTAATAAACAAACTGTCATTCGCGTCATCGGCTTTCCATTTTTTCAAAATACTGTTCACAGTCTACGTATACCGTATTCACTTCGATTAGACCGGATACGAATCTTGCACGACCGCCCTAATGACAATTTACTTATAAATTAGCTTGGACATAAGGTTTATATATGTTTATAAGCGTAATAATATGATAAATGCTACAACCATAATGTTGTAAATGTTGTACTTCATGCACTGAATGAACCAATCAACTTAAGTTTGTAGTGCGCATGTGCAATTTGGGTCTATGTAGCCATACAAGTCTATCGTCTTACATAGCAAGTTAGTCTCTACGGAATTTTACGGCGTTCGGGTTAAATGTTAATTTAGATTTTTGGCTTTTCACGAGTCCTAATTGATCTTAATAAAATTGCATAAAAGAACAAAGTTTATCGCGATCAGAAATAATCTGAACCTTTGGTACGTAGACGTGCGCTGTAAGGATGAACGGAATTATGGTAAGTGAAATTCAGCCTTCCTTTGATTTTATTGATAGTTGCTCGTACACGCGGGAGGCCATGTCATGGCGACCTTTTGCGATGCGTCTTACGCTATATTGAGGCAAATGAAAATTCTTCGCTATATTCTTTATTTTTTATAATATTATCTGAATCTTGAATAATCGTATCCGCATTAAATTCATTTTTTCGATTTATTGCATATTTAATGCAAAATCTATTAACGAATTGAGCTTGCTTTCACGAAAATCAATGCTGCGTTACCACTACGTAGGGCTTTGTTACATTTTTTTTCACTGGGGTACTAAATATATTATAAATTATTTTATATATAAAAATGATTTATTAACGAAGATATATAGATTCATTTTACACGTTTTCTTGCGCAAGTATTGAAAATATTTTTAAATAAAAAAAATCGACGCCTTCAATTAATATCGATTATATTTCATTCTCGTATACTTGGGTATTTACTCAATAGTCTTAAGTAATCTTATTTTAAATTAGGATTTTACTACACTCTTAGTCATCAAGTATGTAGTTACATACCTTTACTTTTAAAAGCAAAATTGTTACTTAATCACTATTGTAAATTTATTAATTTTTATCATGTTTAAAATTGTTATTTTATATGTAATATGTTAAAATTCAATATGTGATATATTTTTGTTTTTAAAAAATTAAAGAAACGCTTTTTATGCCTGAAGTGTAAATAAGAATTTTAATTTGTTCAACATAAATATTTTATATACACTTTAATGCTATTTCAGGTTAAAATTTATATAAATTAATTGGACAAATATGACATCGCATTAAATGATTATTTGTTCAATTTTCATATTCCAAAACTTTTTTTACAATTAAGTTTTGAAATTATAAACCTAAAAATTTTTATTTTATTATTTTTTAGTATTGAACTTGGTTTATTTTTATTAATTAATTTCAATCTGTGATAAAATTGTTTAAGTAATTAATTATAACAAACCTAGCTTATTTAATTCAATATTGTTATTTGGATTTATTATCCTTAAAGGTAATTTATGACTGTTATATTTTTATGTATTTTAGATTATACTAATTCTATATAAAAATATAGTAATTAATTATTAGACTACTTTATATTTCGTTATCGATATGATTGTGGATTATGAATTAAAAAATTGTTTATTATTTTTTATTCTTATACGATTTTTTATTGATTGATAATAATTAAGATTATTTTTATTTATATTATGAAAATTTTAGGTCCTAGATAAATCTAGAATAGCAAAATGAAACAATGATTGAATTTCAAAAGAAATATTTTTATATCATATTTTTGCAAATTTGTATAATTACAGATATATATATAATTTAACAAAGATAATTTATTTGTTGAAAAATTAATATATTATATAATTTATAATATAATGTAGTTTAGTGAATTGATAAAAGTTTTTGTAATTAGAAAACTAAATTCTAGATATCAATATGTTATTTCTTTTTAAAACAATGTATAATTGGTATTGTTTTTTTTTTACTAGATTTTATTTCTTATATTTAAAAGAAAATTATATTTTCTTTTACTTAAGTTTTTACCATTGTTTTAAATTTTTAGATTTAAGTATAATATTAGATTCATTAATATAATATATTGCATAACAGATGTATTTACTCTTCATATAAAATTATTAAAGTTTAAAATTATTTATTTAATATTAAAATTAAGTTATTTCTTCGTAAGATCCTTATAACTTATATACTTATTTAAAATTCAATTTGTTACTATAATATTTTGTATTTATTAAATAGTATAGATGATACTGTAATTTCGAAAAATTTTAACTAATAAAATTTAGCTATATTTATTTATTGAGTAATATTGTAAACTAGCATTAAAAAATTATAGTTTTACTTATATGTATCTGCTCAATTTTCCAATTATACATTATATCAATTATATGAGTATGTATAAAATATTATTTTATCTTTAAAAAAATCTTTGAATATGTGATATTTTAGTAAATATTACTAAGAAATTTATTTTATAAATTTTGACTTTCTAGAAGTATTTGAAAAATGTTAAATATTTAGATAAAATTAGGAAGTATGATAGAAACTACAAATTTTAAGTTACTAAATTTATGAAAATATTAATTTTATCTTTTTCTGTATTAGCTTCCATTGATGCAACAGAATAACATGGAACCACCAGGAAAAAAGCTGCGACTAGAAGGTATATTGCTCAAGCTGCCAGATGCACGGTATCCTATGTATAAACAAATAAATAAATAAAAAAGGACTGTGTACTCCTTAAAAATTATAATAAAATCACAAAAGCATCAACTCTAAGTAAATTGTGATAAAAGAAGAAAGAGGATAAACAGAAAAAACTCAAAATATTCTTTTAGTTACAATATCACACTTAAGCCACCGGCCACTCATGGTTTCCATTGAAAAAAATTTATTTCAGAGAATTTAGAGAATTCGCGGTAGGGTAGGGTGATTATTAGGCGCGCATCGGGTCCCTCAAAGTCAAAAACTAATGTATGGTTGTCCTTCTGTTCTGAGATGTTACAGCAGGAAGACAGTACAGAATCTGTGGCCTTCGACTCAACTGTGATCATGAGCGCGCACCAAAGAAAGAAAGAGAACGAATCTGAGTTTTATACAAACTCTCCCACTGACTCACGGCAACTAAAAATGTCGAGTACAAATTATTCACGAATTTTAGATAGGTTAGCATTTTAGGTTAGTTATTTTTTCTGATCTAATTACCAGTCTTCCTCTGGAAATGTTTACCTAATTGCTATTTTATTAAAGAATATAAAATATTTTATGTTTTATTGATAGCAAATTAATTTATATTCTACAGTGTATACCTTTACAACCAAAATATTAAATATTCTATACAAAATTTAATCAAATAAGCACATATTTTTTTTTTTTTTTAAATTAAATCTCTAAGTTTTTTTATTGCATAATTTATAGTTGTTACGAATTCTTAATTTATAAATATATTTATGTGCAAAATGAATGCAACTGCTAGTATCTTAAATCAGATTATGATTTTTTTCAGGATATTTTATATATTTATTTATTCATATGTTTTTGTCAATCTGTAGTTAAAATGAAATTCATACTACAGTTGAAGTTTAATTTTTGTTGAATATTTTAATTTTTTATGTTTCCATATTTTAGTTTAGTTTCTATTCTATTTTTCATTATTATTATAATTCCATAAGCATTACGTTATTTTTATCAAAATCATGGTCAATTTATTCTTGCTTTCAAATTTAATTATTTTTAAGATCTACTCTGACTTTATATTTTTTTAAAAATCCTTAATTACTTTATTACCCAATCAAGATTCAAATAAAATGAATATAGGTGTAATAAAATTCGTTTTTATTAACCCATAAGGTATATTATATTCTTAATTATTTGTAATAGTATTTTTATTAGTAGCTTTTAAGACTTGGTAATGGTTGTTTGAAATTTGGTTGATTTAATTATATTTTCTATCCAGAGAGATCAGACTTGTACTTAGATAAAACAGTGGCGATATACTTTTAAGAAAATTTTTATTGTATATTAAAACATTCTATATGAATATTTTTCAACCCAGGTAAGTGGTTTGTAAGGAGACTCAAATACTGAGTGAACTTTAGAATCGCCATTGTTCTGATAATAAATAAAAATAAAGAATTTATAGGTGTTAGCTGTTTGGTTAGGTTGGAAAAGGCAAAGCTTAAGAAACTGGCGCAGAGAAATTGCACTGAGAGTATTCTCCTTTGCTTTGTGGTTACAGATTTCTGCGTCGCCTCACAAGTCTCGGATAGTTTGTGCGCGCAACCTTCATTGCTCGACCCTGAACACGGTTAGCCAAATAATTGAATGAGTCGAAAGTAGAGGCTCACGTGTTTGAAATAAATAATCTAATGAAAAATTGCATGTATTTATATCTAAATATAATATATTTACATAATTGTGTGATATTTATTTGTATAATCACAGATCCATTAAAATGAATTTTAAATTTATTCTGCATTAATTTCTTTACATTATCAGATGTTAATTTAAAATTAATTTGTTGGTTTTTATTTTATTTATCTATAATTATATCTAACGTATATATAATTATATGTAAATATCTTGTTTGATTTACAAATATATATACTGGGCATATGTATATAATTGATCATAATTATAAATATATTATATACATGTAATCTTTTCACAAAATATGAAAAGCCGTCTTCTTTTTTTATTTGTTTTAAAAGAAAAAAAACTTGGAGAGAGAAGTACCTTATCAATGCGTCACGTTTTTTATTTCTGTTTCAGAAAGACTAGCCCAGCCAAATTGGTAGAGATTAAAGAATATTTCTCTTTTGTTTTCGGTTGTATGATTGTAGTGTTGCGTCCTGTGTGTAGCTAAATGTTAATAATGTTACTTAAGAACTACAGTTTTGTAGAGGATGATTCTAAAAAAATTTAAATATATTACAGGAGGATGTAAAAAATAAATGTAGCATTGTTTCATAAAATAAAATTAGTTAATTTGTTGCTTGATTGACACATTAGATGGTTAAATTGGCTCCACTGATACAGTATTCTAAAGCCCTCAAACTATTTTAAGTATATTAACTTAAAATAAAAGACAAATATTTTCTATAAAATATTCTTAACTAAACAATTTATTCTAGAATTCTATATTATAAGCGTAAGCCATTAAAAATTAATTTATAATGAAATTTGTGTAGATCATTTTATCTACAATCGATTGAACGGTTAAAGAATCAATTTTATACGGAACTAATCAACTTTCAAAATAACCCAAACTATGTATTAGCCATGTATGAATGTTATATGCAATTTTTAATGCATTTTGTATAATCCAGTACGAATACATATATACACATATGTATGAATTTATATCTACGACATTCGTTAAGTTCAAATTATTAGCTCGACATGAGGAGACTATTTCGTTACTTGATTGTTTTAATGTCTTTGAACTTACAGTTTCATGGAGGTACCTCGTCGTGGAACCACTGAGTGACATCGTTACTTTTCAGTTTCCAACGCCTGATATTTCCTTCATTATTTAACATTAGAAACATCTCATTTTTTAAAAGAAGTTATTTTAATTTTTTTAACTACTTTGTTACTTTCACAATCGAACTCAATAATTTTTTCTTAATTTTTCAGAATTAAATACATTAGTCTAGACCCAAGAAAAATACTTTGATGCATTAAACCTTAATAAAAAGCATCAATAATACTTCAATCATCACAAAATTATGTATAAAACGAAACAAAAAATTGAGAATATTATATAAGTGATGATTGAAGTATCGCAGACACTAATATTTTTGAAGTTATCTAATTCATTACTTTTACAGGAAATGCCTCGGAATTCTTGCCAAGCCCCATTTACGATATCAATCAAACAGGACAGGTGGTTGCAGGTATTTATATTTTAATACAGAAACAGTAAATTAATGACTAATTTTTATGTCACATGTAATTTCATGTTAGATGTAATATAGGAAATTAAAATATTATTATTTGTATTTGCCATGATGTATAATTTATTTGTGACATTGAAAAACAGTACTCCTTTCAATTGTGAAATTTTGAAAGTTGATTTCTTAATTGGATGAGCTTTGCTGATAAGATCTGAGTTTCATTTATAATTTCTATTTTATTATGTATTTTAAAAAAATTTTTTAACTTTTGTTTCTATTTTTAATAGGGCCTGGAGCAAAATATCTAACCTTACCTGGAATATTGGGGGGTGGCTTGCCAAAAATCTCGTCTGATCAACAAGACACAGTAAATCGGGCTAAAAAATATGCCATGGAACAGAGTATCAAGATGGTTTTAATGAAACAAACATTAGCCTATCAACAACAGGTAACAAGATAGGATTCAACAAGAATTCTTTTATGTTCGTATCAATTCTTGTGTCTTTCTAGATCGAAGGAGGTAAAAAAGTTATTTCCCAATATTTGACCATATATTATTGGACGGTAATTTCATTAACTTGTAACTTGAAAAAAAAAATGAATAATGCATTATAATAAATTTCCTAATTGTAAAATAATTATAAAATTTATTAATTAATGAATGTTTTTAATATATGCATTGCAGTTTCAATTTTAATGTTTTTTTTTTATAATAGGCAAATGAAAATCATTAAGTATTCATTAGTTCTAAAGGAGACATTATTTATGCTATTTAAATTTCAATCATTTTTATGCTTAGCTTATTCACTATAATTTTCAATAAAGAATATTGATATTATGTTTTAATATAATTTGTACAATAATATATGACATTTAAAAATTTATTTAAAACTTTTTGATGGAAAAACACAAGAGTTTATTAAATTGTTTTTATTTTGGTATCGGTTTTATTTTATTTTATTAAGATAATCCTTGCAAGAAGTTAACTATTAGAGATTTTTATACAAGTTTACTGTTGAAAAGTATTTCTGGAATATTACTTTATAAATATCTAATATATTTATTTAACGGATTTTAAATATATATTTTAAATTTATATTTGTTTAATTAAAGTATTAAAATGTTACTTGTTTGTGTATATAACTATTTACTGATAATTAAAAAATTGAAATTAAAAATTAGGTGAGTATTTCAATAATTTGATCAATTTATCAAACTGTAAAATTTTAAAAGTAACAGTAAATGTTTTCATATTGTTAATTTTATATTTTATATAAATTTTCTATTAGTGGACATTATAGCAAGGACTATCTTAAATCCTTTATTTTAAAATTTTGTTCTCAGCTCTTTACCAAAATTATGTTTCTTAAAAAAATTAAGTTGACTTAAAACATTGTAAAATCTTAAAACGTAAATTTATAATTAGAGAAACTGATACAGAATTTTATGAGTCTTCGTATTTGAACATTATCCCGCCGTTAACCTTAAAGATTTTTTCAAAATAAATGCACATTAAGAACAATTGGAAAAAATTCGTAGTAAATTCAAAATCTGACTGAATGATTTTTTCTCCCTGCAGAAAAATAAGTTGGTCCTGTGGCAGCAAGTTTTATTGCTAATGTGCAGGTTAGTGTTAATCAATCAAGTCATGAAATTAAAAAAAAATATTCAAAATAATAGTTTCAAAGAATCGGTCAATGCAAATTTGCGCCTTTAATCAATTCCTTAAACATGCTATCCCGAGTTTATACAACTTTAAGACGGTTTAGACTCGTTTAGACATTGCGATTCTATGGTTGGCGGGAGCAGAGCTGTACTACTATACGATCCGAAGAGGGCAATCAAGTTATTCGTACGTGCCGTAGGCAATTTTGTAACAGTAGTTAAATTCAATATTCTATGCTCAACTAATTTCTATTTGCAATTAGAAATTTTACAATTAGGAAATGGTTAGAAATAAAATTTTCTCATTTAATTATAAATTCTTTCAAAATTAGTTGAGAATGGAAATAAGTGGTAAATGGTAAAAGAGCTTGTTATTATATTAAAAGATTATAGAAATTGCGAAGAAGAAAGTCTCGTTGATTGCTTAATAAGTGAAAAGCAGAAGGGGGAGGGATATCAATAGAAGGCCGATGGTCCTTTGTGTTACAGCAAATGGCTAGTCAGCGGAATCAGGTGCAGAGACAACAGACTCTGGCTCTCATGTGCAGGTTTGTTCGCTCTATGCCATAAAAAAAAATATAAAAAAAATATTAAAAAAAACAGTTCCACATATCTAGTTCCTAAGAAAAAGTATCCTTCTACGTGGTCCAATTTGACTCCACTGTCATCTCCAAATCACCACCGATCAACGCGTTATTACCAAGCATTGTAATAACAATTAAATTAAATTGATTAACTGATTTCAAAATATAATATAATTTTCATACTAAATATTATATAATTTTAAATATTTCTATTATAATTTATTAATATAATTATTTATATGTAATACATGATTTTTTTCGTATAAATATCAATTTCCATAGCTCAATATAATATATTGAATATTTTGATTATATATGATTTAAGTATTTACATTTTATTATCGTATTACAAAAGCAATATTTGTAAATACAAAGTATTTATTGTACAACTTCATTTAATAATAGTAAATATTATTTTTAAAGCAGTTAATTAACTATACGTTTAAGTTTAAAATAATAATATTAACGGCTTTTTTCTCCAAGAAGATGGCTTTTTTATATGTTTAAAGTCTATATGCTATGATTAAAAAAATCTTAATATACTGTTAATATTTATTAAAAATTTAATTTATTAAATAAATTTATAACTTTCAATTAATAAAGTGATTATATAATATTTATATATTTTAAACGTTATATTTAATAATTAATTTCTAATGTTTTTAATGATTATATATACATATAATATAAATTATTAATGGCTGCTATATTTGTGATAATATATCCAAATATTTTAACATTGTAAATAATAATCTATAGCATTTAGTTTAAACTACTATTAAATACCGTTATTAGAGTCACGCTTTTACAGATATAAGAGTAGTTGTATATTATACATAACAAAACACAGATGTACGCGCGTGCGCACATAAACCTATCTTATTCATAAAAATTTTTTTTTAATTAGCGGTTTTTGAATGCGATGGAACACTGCTGTCTTGTATTAAATTTTTTTAATTTTTTTTTAATGCGATTTTACAAATTATACTTCGTTTAATACTTAAGTAAATTATTAACTTGCATGTTTAAGAATAAGTAAATTATTGATTCAAATGCGCATATTTATATTTATGAAATTTTACGATACTTTCATCCAATATATTAATTTCATTAAACTTATAAAAGTAAAATTTTTGTAAAATATAGAAATTGAATGATAAAATAATATAATATAATTAAACAATTTAATTGTATTAGATTTATATCGCTTTTTATGTGTATTATAAAAGAAGTTTCCTTTCAAATAAAATTTCAAAAATAACGTAAACAAGTCATTACAGACCGTTAAATTTAACTAAAACTACTCTTAATATTAAAATTTAAGGATAATAATTTCGACTTAAATATAAAAGTATGTAAAAAAACCTATCTAATAATAATATATTTTATATAAACAGGCTTTACGTAGGCAGCATCAGTTTTGAATTAAAGGAGGATACAATAAGGCAGGCCTTTCTGCCCTTTGGTGCCATCAAATCCATTAATATGTCATGGGATCCACTAACGCAAAAGCATAAAGGCTTTGCGTTCGTGGAGTACGAGATACCAGAGGCAGCGCAACTTGCGCTTGAACAGATGAATGGGGTCATGATTGGTGGCCGTAATATCAAGGTAGCGGGACGTACCTATATAACGAATTTCCTGTCCCTGCGCAATCCTAACAACTCCTTGGAGGTCCGATGTAATTTATTTTGTTCCTTTGCATAACTCCGTCCTCTTTACTTTACCTTTATTACAAATATGTTGTTTGACATGTTATACGCAACAATTTTTTAATCCCTTTTCATGCTCATTTATGTAGTGGATAGAATCAACTTTTACATTCATATTACATTATTCCAACTACACGTTATTATTATACATTTAATTTATATACTTCCAATTTGATACTTTTACATTATCCTTACATTGCCTTTTATTCGTAATATTTTAGAATTTAGTTTCATTATAATTTAATTTAATATTAATATTTAATATATGTATATACAATTATACATAAATATATTGGATAAGAAAATGTTCATAATGGAATAAATTTTTAATTTAATATAGGAAATTGTAGTGGTACATGTCAAATTTAAAAGAATCCCTAAATTTTCTGAATTATTATATCATTACACATATGTAGCATTCTTCTATTTGTACATTTAAAAAAAATTTATGGATTCCCTTGAAAATTCATTCTATTGCTCATTGTATCTTATTTTAACGAAAGATAGCTTAAATTAGCGTACAAACATATTTTATTCATTAATCTATTTCGGGAAAAGGTACTTAATATTTTTTCTAATTTTTTATCGTAATTTAATTTTGGTTGTAAATTATGTGAATTAAGCAATTAGTGTATAATGGAATAATAAGCTACAGAAGATATAGATAAACAACAAGAAGATAAAGAAAACTGTAACAATTATATTTTAATATATTGTCTTAATTAAAGAATTAATATCAAGACTGAACTAACGCATACATAGATTTTGTTTTTCTGATATTTTATATGTTTGATTTTTTATTCGAACTGGTAGAAGTATGCAAATAAAAAACACCTTTGTTTTAAAAACTAAAAAATATTTAAAATATTCTTCATTAGTATTTTCAGCCTGAAAATGGAAAAAATTAATTATATCAATTTTATACAATTTTACATTCTTTATAGAAGTTCATAAATTTACTATTTAATTTTGTGTTTTAGTTTATCTATTTAAAAATTTTCTTTTAATTAAAAGTTAAGATTATTTAGATTGTTTATAAATATTAATAATCTTTAAATTTAAAAACAATATAATATTTTATTTGTGAAGGAGATATATCTGATTAATATTATCTTCCATACATTTGTTATTTTATCTATTTCATTCGTTTTCATTACTAAATATTAGTTTTTAATATATTTTCCTCTATATCTTATAAAGCTAACAGCTTTTATTCAATATAATAGTTCAATCGAACTGGATTTTCAGTTTGGCAATGAAGTATTATTATTATCTTATTATCTTTTATAAATTTAATTAAATTCTAAAAATATTTTAGACATTTGAAAAAATGTTGATCAAAAATTTTAAAATAAGCTTGATAAAATTAAGCTTCATTAAAATTTAACTTCATTAAACGTATATTCATGGATTCTATAAATTTCTATAAGGTCATAGATTAAAATAATAAAGTATGACATATGTAGCATTTATTGAATTTCGCAAAAATGAGTAATTGTTACTTTTTACGTGCTAAAGGCGTAAAGCAACGATGCTATGCAAATAAAGTTTGAGTGAAAATAAGTTTGAAAAGTGTAGCTAGTCCCTTAGAACCGCTGATGACGCCAATATTTCGTAGCAACTACAAAAATGTTCGATGTCGACAGGTGGTGGGTCGTCCGTCGAATATGCCGCAGGCCCAGTCGGTCATAGACGAGATAACGGAGGAAAGCAAGCACTATAACCGCATCTACATTGCCTCGATTCATCAAGACTTGACAGAGGACGACATAAAGTCTGTCTTCGAAGCTTTTGGACCAATAACTTACTGCAAGCTTGCCCAGGGCAGTTCGCCACATCGACACAAAGGCTATGGCTTCATTGAGTATGAGTCCATGCAGTCAGCCCTCGAGGCCATTGCTTCAATGAATCTCTTCGATCTGGGTGGACAGTATCTCAGAGTTGGTCGGGCCATAACACCGCCTAATGCTCTTATGGGACCCCCAAGCGGTACTAGTATGATGCCGACCGCAGCAGCCGTTGCCGCCGCCGCGGCTACTGCCAAAATTCAAGCGATGGACGCGGTCGCGAGCAATGCCGTCGCACTCGGACTAACCAAGCTTGCTGCTACCGCACAGCCAATACTTAATACAGGTTACTTTATTTCTTGCTCGCCCCTTCATGTCATAAGATTTTCTTGAGTTCTGTACACTCGACGCCGAAAATAAATAAAATTCATGCCTACATCGACGAAGGTCTGTTAATTAAGTTCAATCAAAATAAAAAATTTTTTTCAGCTATGCCAGGAATTGTTCGTCCGACGCTTGCACCCCCAACAATTTTAACTCCATCGACGATAGCCAGCGTCGCTCCGATCATTCCCCCACCCGGCATAGCGATACCACAGACTCTTAATCGACCACCAGCTATTATTCAACCAATGCCGGGACAACCAGTTGTTATACCACCTCCAACAGTGGTTACACCAACGATCGTTGGAGCTCCCATTGTTAGTATTTTTACATGCCAAAGATAATTGAAAGTCAAATTTTTTAAACAGAAAGTAATGTTGATTCAAATATTTTTGTTATTCATTTGTATGAAATTTATTTAATTTACTGTTCTTGTTTATGATTAAGCGATAGAATGATAACATTTCCAATGAATAATAAGTTAATACTTTTATGAATCAAACATTTTTTAAGAAACAGTATCATATAAAGAATTTTTTATATCATTAAAGATTAACATCGTTTTTTAAAGAATATTTTTATTTACTAATCTAATTAACAAGGATCAACTATTTTCCTTGAAGATGCCAGCGATAAATGCAGTGTCTGCCCCAGTCGGACCTGAAGCACTGAGACGTGCGCAAGAGCAGGCCGCCCACCAAAAGCAGCAAGAGGAACTGCAGAAGAAATTACTGGAAGAAGCTGAACCACAAACCCTACAACAGCAAGAAAACATGTCGATTAAAGGACAGAGTGCACGACACCTTGTAATGCAAAAGCTTATGCGCAAAGTAGAATCGCGCGTAGTTATACTGCGCAATATGGTAGCACCCGAAGATGTGGATCAAAGTTTGCAGGAGGAAATTCAAGACGAATGTTCAAAGTTTGGAGTTGTTGAACGAGTTATTATTTATAATGAAAGGCAATCCGAAGATGACGAAGATCCCGAGATTATTGTTAAGATATTCGTAGAATTTTCACAGATGAGCGGTGAGCATGTGCTTTTTAAAAATATATAATTTGAATTTTTCCATTTAAATATTTATGATATTAAAAAAAATTAAGTTTTTTTTATGTAGTACGTAAGTAGTTACTAATTATTACTAAAAATTGCTTTTCAGAGGCTGAAAGAGCAAGGGATTCACTTAATGGTCGCTATTTCGGCGGTAGGCTAGTAAAGGGCGAACTTTATGACCAAGCACTTTATGATAATACTGATTACTCAGGTTGATTATCAATATTATCTTTATTCATTATGGAGTCGAATGCATTTTCTCCTATGGAAGAAAAAAAGAAGGAAATATGCGGATGTGTATCTTATCAATAAAATATTCGATTCTCATGAATTGAATCTGACGATTTTGAATTTTAAGAAATTCGTAAATATTAGACACACTCTCATATACAAATAAATTGATAAATCAAGTATCAAACATAATTGATACATAAATTGATTTTTCTTCCGCGTTATTCAAGAATGAACTACTAGTTTTGTTTGTTGTACCCTAAAATATAGGTAAGGAAAATCACTTGCAATAGGCCGTCTCACTCGCAATCCAATGGTAATTAAATATCATATATCACAAAAAAATATTCTACAAAGACATGCACCCACTTGCTTGTGTAAACTACTCTTTACGAACTTTTTAATAATATAAAAAAATGCAAGAAAACAGTAGATTTTCAATAAACTTTAATGATCATAAAAATAATAAAAGCAAGATAAAATTATTAATGCAAATTGTGTAGGTCATATTGCAAGTGCAAGTAGATCTTGTTTCAAAGAATGAATGTCATTATATTTAAGATATATATATATATTTAAGATATATATATATATATATATATATATACACTTCAACACACACATACACACACACACATATATATATATATATATGCATACACATCATTACACATGTATAGTAAAATTTAATTTCCTAATAAATTGTTTTCCAATTACTATTAATCTTGCATAAATATTTTCTGCAACATCAACATTTAACGTTTTTTTTATAAATTATTACACATATTTGTATTATATCTATAAGTTCAGTATTACCTTTGCATAAATAATACTATGACTCTTGAATTTAATTAACAGATTAAAACGGTTTACGGCATAAGTTTTTTAGTCCAATTTTTAATAATTATCTAAATATAGTATTTATTTCTTACATATGTTTTAGTTGTTTCTAATTGTAGTAATTAAAATTATGAAACTTAAAAGCCAGGTATATTTGTATATTAATTTTTAAACAAAATAAAAAATTTAAATCATAAATTGTATCATTTATTTTCTTATTATAGTGCATGCATTAGTTTTTATTTTAATTTAGAATTGAATAAAACGTAAGTTAATGTCAATTAAGAATTTGTATCCCATCAATTAATATAAATATGCCCTGCGAATTTTACGCACTTAATGAATTTTTGGTATTAAGCCAATTTCATTTGTTCTGTATAAATATTTACAATACTATAATACTAACATAATAATTATTAGAAAAAATGAGGAAAATTAATATTTAAATATATTGTAATTATTTTTTTTAATATTTTTTTTTCATCACCTGTTTTGTTAAAATGTTTTCTCTCATGTTGACAATCTATGCTAATGTACCTAATACGTACCATTAGTGACAAGTGAGCGTTACACCTTATTTTTATTTTTATTTTGTCTACTGGAAGCAATTGTTTTTTTTAAACTTGTGATAAAATTTTAATTAAATTCGTACAAATTTAAATTTAAAATACAGTTTAATTCATTAATTTTTTTTAAGGATGAAATAATTTAAGAAATATTTATTGCTTATTACTTATTGCTTAGGCTTAATTCATAATTTGTTTTCATTGGTAATCATATCAATTTTTGTGACAAAAAATTAAATAAAATTTGTACAGGATAAATTTTATACGTCATAATAAATAATTAATAGCTTGATAAACAAGAATTTGATAAAAAAAGATTTATTTTTTATTCATAAAGACAAATGATTATCTACTACATTATTTAGCTGTAGTATTTTCAATTTTAGTTTTCGATTTCTAGTACACATACTAGTTTTTAACCATCCAGGAAATATGTCCATACCCTTTATTGTAATGAGCTATGCACCAGTGAAATGTAATCGTTTATAGAATTTATTTATAATAATTATACCTTATATTTTTAGAAATTAGGATTAAGAGAAAATTTAATTAATTCGTTTAAAATTTACTCAACCTTTTATCAAATAATCTTGAGTAGAAATAAAACAAGAAATAATTCATTTAATTACTTTAAATTTTTATAAAATTATTAATAAGAAAAGTGAATTAATTCTGAAAATAAATAATTAATAACTATACGAATACGAATTGAATTTATAAGTCATATTCATTATGTTTTTATGAATAAACTAATGTACATTAAGCTTTCATTTAGAGATCAACTCTATTTCTTTTTTTTTTTAAATAATCAAATGTATATAAAAGTTGACAATTCAAACTAAATAATGGATTTAATATTTATTGAATATGTATTTATTTTTTTAAATTTTATTTATCAAAAATTAAAAAAATTTTTTCTTTTTTATTAAGTCAATAGTTATGAGTAAATAAACATATTTCACCAACTATGAGAAATTTAGGGCATAATACAGAATATTTTATAATAATATCTTCAATAAATAACAATGGGCTATAATATTTATAAACACGTATAAATATTTATTTCATTTTTACTTATCCAATATGCTGTTTGCTGTTATATAATCATATTCATCGGTCAATTACTTTAGCTGTGCAAAGCATGCTTTTTCTCTTTTTCATGTTACTCTATTTCTTTATATCTTTAAGAACTTTTTAGAACATGCGAGTCTATGTAAGCTAACAAGTGCTATGATATACAATTCATATGACATATAAAAGACTTGAAAAGCATATGAGTGACTTCATGTATAGACATGCTAGACTTTAAAAGGCATCCTTGTCGGGCACTTACGAGCATTCTTTTTAAAAATCAGTTTAGAAGATGCTTCTTTTGGTTTGTACCTCTGTGGTCTTTTCATAACATAGAAGATGTCTTTTGTCTATTTTATAAACGTCTACAAGTACTACTTCGACGTCTTTTCTATTATCCAATTTGAACTTCGTTTTATAAAATATCTCAGATTGACTGTATTGGCCATTTCATATACAATATCATGAAAATAAATATTATAATTTTTATTTAAATATAATATGCAAACGAAAACGAATCATACCGTTTTAATATCGGATTCTAAAAATGTATTTTTGCATTGTACAAATATAGGATTAAAATATTATAATAAAGAATATTGACATATGTATTTATTTGAATTTATAATTTAAGTAAAAAATAAATGTGTTTAAGAAATAGAGGAAAAAATAGAGGAATTTTATTTGAAAATAAATTTAATGTTCAAAGCTAGTAATTTTGTAAAAATTTTTCATTTTATAAATGATTTGATATTACTTGATGCAAATGAAATTTGATATGGACTTATTGGAAATGAATAAATATATTTTATGCCAATTAGATTATCTGAATTTTATGTTGTTATTAAATCTTAGATCAAAGAATTTTATATGATTTTGATTTATTTTATATATCGGTTATCTCCTTGTTCTTCTTCCTCATAAAAGTCCTTCGCATTTTTTTATATAATAAAAGTGTTTAATTCAAATAATTACTTTATTTTAAATAATTCAATAAAAAAAAACATTTCTTAGTGGTCCAATGATAATCTCATTCGTATGTACAAGCAATTTATGGGGAATATAGTTATTTATGTTTGCACGTTTCTATTTAACGATAATTACAAATATTAAGAAGATAATTTTCGCTTAATGAGATTCACCTGATCTGAACTGATAATCAATATCTGCAGTGGTAAATATATCGAAAATAGTTTTTAAATATTAAAAATATTATCATTAAAATTAATCAGCAAAATATATTGTTGTGTATTGCAAATAAAATATTGTTTTAAATATTTAATCCCTACAGTTTTTTATTAATTTTTTTATTAATAATTTTTTAAAGTTCTTGTGAATAGTTGTGCAAATTGAAATACATATTTTTTATATTCAAATTTAGAAATTAAGATATTTAACTATTTACTTGTATTACGTTCCGAATGATGACTGAAAATCTTCCTATACCATATAAATTTTGTTAGTAAATTGGTTGTCATTAATCTGTTGAGACTTACATTTTTTATTAAGGATAATAAATTTTTGTACTTGCATACTCAGATTGCTATACATACATGATTTTTAAATATATAATTAATAAATGCTATTATTATTCGGTACATCTAATCTCTCTTAATTTTGCTATTACATTTTTTCAATATACAGAATTTTTTATATATTAATTCCCCAAGTTTATAAAAAAAATAGTGTATTTCATTATACAAGTTTCGTGCTTATTTAAGCCAATGACAAGAAACAAAAATTGAAAATTTCAAGTACTTCATTTCCAGCAAATCAAAAGTAAAGTTATAAATCATCAATTTTTTGTTGATGCAACAAATTTTCATTTATCAAAAAAAGGATTTTCTTATTAAATTAGTTTTTTTACATATTTATAAATATATACTTTCACTTTTAATTTATAGAAATTATATTACGAAATAATGGTAGCGTTTAATTTAATATATATATTTGCTAAAAATATATTATATATTATACACATATATTTTTATAATCAAAAAGTTTTTGATTGAACACAATATAAATAAATATATGATAAAATGGTATTGTGTCTGTTTATATTTGATTATAATTTTAGAAAATACAATTGTACATTTCTGTTAAATACAGAGAATAACGTTTGAGTACAATAAATAATTAGAAAATCAAATTATAACTGTCAATAAAAGATCTTTCTTTAAAGGAAGAAAATTGTTATAATATTTTGTAATGTGATCGATAGGAAATATATATATTTATTTTCTTCATAGAATCATTAATTATCTTATAACATCTACGTCTGAAAAAGATTTAATGATTACCAAACCTCTCAAAATAATGCGTTTTATTATTATGAATACGAATTAAGAATAAAAAAAAATTAAGAATACGATTGCTTGGCTCAAAATTATGTACTACTTTATTTTAAATAGCTATATAAAAGATTTTTTGCATATTATAAATATTGAAATAAAAAATTATATTTGATAAATATAGAATAAATAAATAAAATAAATATTGCAATTATTTTACTTTTAGTTCTTAATAAAAATTTTTATATAATATGTGAAAATTACTTTAAAATAAAAAATTTTATGATAAAAATTCTAGCGCTAAAAACTTTTTACTATACGAATGTAATTTATTAATATATAAAAAAGGATGAATTTCATTAAGAAA